ACTTTACACATTTTCTGCCAGAGCCTCTGTTCCATCTAGTTTTCCTGATTAGGACTGACTTCCCATTTCCAGAGGGAAACCTTCTTAACTTTAATAGCTTCTCAGCCACAACTAGAGACCCCTGCTGGCCTGAAGATCCTTACTTCAAGCAGTCAGTTTTGGCAAGGCAGAGTGCACATTGCCTCTTTTGAAAGGTGGAAGAACAAATAAGGTAGCAAGAATATCAACAGCTGTGCTACACCTGTCTGAACTGGCCCTCTTTGCTCTGAATAAGCAAGAACAAGTCCTGGAAAGTATATGATGAGGTGCATGTTTACTTTGCTAATTGTGGTTTTGGTTTCTCTCTATAGCATAATGAAACATGGATGTTCTCTTGTGCAGTCTGTGAATCACTGACTTTGGATTTTGGAGGGGAAAAAAAACAAGTTTAAGAACTTGCAGCCTAAAATATTTAGGTATGCAAAAATTTCGATCCAAGATGGATGGTTTTAAAAATAAACTAAATAACCCTTTGGGTCATCCTTTGACAGAAAGGTACTGCAGTCTGATGTAACCAGAATGAACATTAAATTTTAGGCTGACCCTATTTTTTTTTTTACCCCAATGCTGGATGGTCCTGTGATCATCTAAGAAGTATCTATATCATAAATAGAAAAATAATTGTAGTGGCAAACTTCAATAATAAGTCAATATTTACTTACCTAAACAGATAAACGGAATGACCACGGGTGGGCAAAAAAGCAGTGGGAGTGGAAGCGACTTCCGACTTCCTGCCAGCTTCCCCATTGACTCTGCTTGTGGGAAGCTGGCAGGGAGGATCGGAAATCATGATCAGGTGACCGCGGAATGCTGCAATAGCCACAACTTTGTGAATAAAACTGGTGTGAACATTGAGGAAAACTGAGTTCCAGAGGTGTAATGGGTCCCAGATTTTTTATGCATTCTTTAGTGGATTTTAGGTACCTTGATTCAACAGTTGTTGCAGCATAACGCACCATTTGGGCTAACTTGAGGGTACAAACAGACAAACACAACGACAGTTTTAGTAGTATATAGAAAATAGTATGGCTTGTACCAAGGCTTTTTCTTCTTTTCAACTGTTTCCTTACCTGCTTCTTTCTCGAGGCCACAGATCCTATACTGAGGATGCCACAGCTCTTCTGGCTCCCATTAGCTGAGCTGATGTGATGTCACAGAAAGAAATCCTAGTAGATGTTTCTCTTTAGAAAACTGTTTAGTATAAGGTTTCTATTTGAGGTAGGATATAGATCCTTTTTTGGGCTGTGGGTGGCATCTGGCCTTTGAGGAGCAGTGCTGGAACCACACTTCACAAAGGCAATGGGGCTAGATTTAATAACATAATATATAAATATAAAATATCATGATATTCAATAATTGTATACTAATATATCACATGATATTATATATATATTCTATCCCATTAAAATTGTACATTGGGGCTAACTTTGGAGGAGACCTGAGGCCATTGGGGAATACTTGTGACCATGGCCATCGTTTGGCACCTCTCAACTCTGACTAAGGATTGTGAGTTGATGCTTTATGTTCAATATGTGGTCTATGAAAACAGAACAATTAGGTTTGGATCAAACATATTTGAACTGTGATTAGTTTGCTGGTAATTTTATTAATAAGAAAAATAATCATGTAATGTTACTTTTCTTTCCCAGTTTGTCTGTAATGAATGACTTGATCATTCCAAGGATAGGGAAGTCCATATGTGTGAAATTATATTCTTAGCGACACTTTTTATCCTAAAACCTGACTACCCAGAAAGAAATCAAGTAGTGTAATGATAAGTGGGAATGACCTTGGGAGATAGGAGGAAGAGCCGCAGCCTAGACAATGGTCTGATAAATGAAATCTGAGTCTGACAGAGGGTTGGGAATGGAGAAAGCACCTCAAAAGGGACCCTCCCTAGTTTTGGGGAGAGTAAAAGTAAGGGAGGGGAGAGGTATTTTCAGATTTGCAAGATTTTATTACTGTAACCTTACAATAAAGGTAGTGTTAGTACTCATGGTTGGCACTTCTTGCCTGGACTTTACTAGGTAGGCCAGAGAGGAAACACGGCCAGATGAGCTAATTCTACTTTATTGTAAAGCTACATTAACAGAATCTTGCAAGTCTGAAAGAACTTCTCTCCCCCCACCCATCCCCTTTATAGCCCTCCAAAAGTAGGGAGGGTCTCTTCTAAGCCTCTTGCCCCTCCCACATTCCCGCTGCAGGTTCATCTGATTTTTATCTGACTGTTCCCTTGGCTGCATTTCTTTGCCCTGCCTCCCAAGGTCATTCCTACACACCATTACAGGACTTCAGGTAGTGCAGCAAAATGCACCTTGGGCCATTCTGAGCCACTATACAGTTCAGATGCATTTTGTCTCAATAAGTGTACAAATGTATAAGTTACATTAACACACCCTATCAGAATATGGGCACACATGGAAAATCACACGTATTCTGTGTCACTCAGAACGAATCTTAAAAAAAAAAAAGCATGTTGTGTACAGAAATGCACAGATTATTACTGTGATTCATGCAGATTCATTCTTTTCTCCAAATGTAATTAGTGATGTAGAAATGGAGCATAAATGGATATAAAGAAGAAAACACCAGAATCAGAGCAGAAGGGAAAGTGACAGGTTTGCTATTGCTTATTGCCTAAGAAAGAAAAGTTGGGCAATACTAAGCAAACCCCATCAGTCGTTGACACTTTTCAACTGCTAATTAAGCTGCTAATATTCCTATTTGCATTGTGCTTTTTCATGCTTATCTAATTAATATGTTTTTGTTACTGTCCATTTGGCTTCATAAAGGATGACAAAGAAGTATGTTTTTTTTTCTTTCTGTCCATAGTTACAGATTATTCAGTGTGCAGTGTGTGCCTATGAATGTCTGTGCAGAAGCTCTGGAGATTTAGTATAAGTAATGATATGTAAGATTGGAGGCATTTTTTAAAACGAAAGTTTAAAAAGTTTTCATAGCATGATGTTAAATAACCATTATTAAAGTTCAAACTATAACCAAGTAAAACATTTACTAGGGGAGAGATATCCTAACAGCTTTCCTGAGTACCTTACACATTCAAAATGTACAAAGTTCTTTTGACTGACTTTTGGTATGAATTTGAGGCATGGAAGGAATGCAGGAGCAAATCACCTTTGTCAGTTACATGTGCTGGTGAAATCAGTGGAAATGATTGGGATTTAAATTAAATTCTATTGATTTCATCAGGACTATGTCTAATCCCATTTGAGTTATGGGATTAGATTTTGGAGGTATTAGTGTCCATCTGATAGTTGTTAAAAATGTTAAAGTAGAGTGGATTTCTTGTAGAAGAGGCACTTTCTCTTCATGAAAGCATCAGGCGCCTATCATTTGTTCATGAAAGATTCACCTTCTGGATCTACCCAATCAGTAACTCAATTCAACTGAAAAAGTGATGAGATAAAGAGCCAAAATGATTTGCAGTTTCACACATCTTTTCAACTGTTCTGTACTCAGGCCTCAAATATGGAAACTGATCTTGCAAAGAGGGAATAAATGGAGTGGCTGAACACCTTAATTCTAATAGCTACAGTTTGGCACAGTTTTAGGCCATGAGCCTTGGAACAAGTACTCTTGAATTTACTTTTGAGTAAACATGTACATAGATTCATAATATTGCTTCTGAGTATGCATTAGTATGTCAGCTATAAGAAGATAACAAAATTCCAGAGGGAAGTGGTTATTTTCAGATCCTTGTATCATAGAGAACGTTTTTCCAGACTATTTAGGTACATAGATTGCAATTCCCATCATCTCCATCCATCTCATGGTTGTGCTGAGTTATGATGGGAATTATGGTCCAGCACATCTGGACAGTGGCTGGTGGGCTACATAGCTATAACAGCATATAGATTTCCCTTTGGGGAGAAGCTGTTCCTCTTATCTATGCCAGGGCAAATAAAATAAAAATAATAGTACAGCTGAAGCCTTGGGTTCATATACCCAATGAACAACCCAAGGAATTTTTAAGTTAAGAAACTTAAAAATTCCTTGCATTGAAAAAAGTAAAATAACATTATCATACTCTAGGAGATCCTAAGGAAGTTTGATCAGCAGGGGAGACTTCAAAATCTTCTTATATTTAAAAAATAAAATCCTCTTTTATTTGATGAATTGTAGGATTTGTATATTTTCCTGGAAGTTATGCACCTCATCTAGTCGAGGGGCAACCTTGTTAAATATTACCAAATTCATTGACAAATTTTTCACAAAGAAATAAAATAACTAAGATGCAGATAGGCCTGGCTTTAAGGCGGGGAGGCTGCTATAATTTCATATTAATGAACAAATAAGTCAGTTCCCCTCTTTCCCAATTGCTCTGACATGTCTTGATGTGATTCTTAAATTGCCCGCATTGGCCTCATGAACGATTATGTAATTGAGGCACATTCCGGCCAAAGTTAAAACATCTTTCTGATTTCTGTGGGAGAGTTAAGTACAGATTTAATTTTCTACCACTAAAATCAATTGGACTTAAGAGTGCTTAGGGTTGTGAGACAGTCAGGAAAGTATCAAATACAGGGCTGTCCACACCTTGCTTTCTTGCTTTTAAAAGCAGTTTAATATGCAGTAATGATCAGATAACCTTTTCTCCAGATGAAGTTAAACGATCAAGTCTCATTTACAGCACGGGCACATGCATGCAATATTGGAAGTCCTGATCTAGATAGGAGCACTTTTTCCTCCCAAGATCCTCATATGCCCGTGCTCAGTAAATATACAAAGAGAGCTTCTTAATAAGCCCATGCAGCAATCTGGGCTTGAAGAGCAAAATGTACTTCAGAGAGTGCACCTGTCAAGAATACTCTGGATCATTTTTAGCCCTTCAAATCAGATTTTTGTTCTGGATCAGTGTTCTCCTTGACTACTTCTCCCTACCCCTCAGATTCCACCCAAAAGTCTTTCAAAATTCAGGTGATTCTGCTAGCTACCCTGCTAAAGTTCAGGGGTACTTTACAGCAATCGTTCTTATGAAAGAAAAACAGGGAGAAGAGAGAGAACTGGTTCAAAAGTTAACTGAAATAATGTGTCATGTTTCCTCTTATCTGTTTGTATCTGCATGAGCAGGGAAAGAATTTGCTAGATACCTTTGCTTGCAAGGCAGATTTGTTTTTAGCAAGGTGCTTGGCTGGATATGCAAGCTTATGTCTTCAAAGACATAAGAATCTGAAACAGTATTAATTTCTTCAAGAATGTCTTCCTTTTCCTAGTGCACTGAGATTACATTATTTTCCGCTACCTATTTCTTCACTGTAAGTCCCATTCTTCTGAAAGGCATTTCTTCTGAATGGACATAGGAAAGATTGCACTGCACTGTAACAGAAACACATTCGCCTCCATCCAAGTCCACCTCTGTTCTGTGCAACCAGTGTTATTAAGTAGCAGACTGGGAGGGACATTGGAATTTACAACGGGCAACACAGATAGGATGACTGCAAATTCTTATCCCAAACCTGCACTACAAATATGGACTACATCACGCTTTTCTCAGTCTGGGGGGAAGAAGTTTCTGAGCATCAAATACCTCTGCTGGATTGAAGCAACTGCATAATGTGTTCTGGTGCGTGCAGCAAAAGTGTAAGTAAAAGCCATATACAACATTATAAATACATCTCTCCTCCAGTATAGTTCCACTGAATTACCCCCCTGGGTTAAATTCAGACTTCATAGCTCAACTGATTTGTGGATCAAGTTGCTGACTGGCATAGATAAGCTTCTTCAGCTTGATTGCAGTGGACTTAGCCAAACTTCATGTTTTCAAGCCCAATGAGCTCTCCTTGAAGTAACATTCTGAATCTGAGCATATCTGAGAGGAGTGGATTTTTTTCCCCACTTCATGTAGCACTTGAGTATAAATCTGCCTACCTCTAAGTTTTCCAGTTTAACTGGGTGAAGAATAAGAGCTGTACTCACTGATTATTTGAATGTCATGGCTTTGTAATTCTGTGGGCAGGAGTGGCTTTCAGCTTTTATGCACTTATCATCCAGCTATATCTATATGTTTTTTCATTGGTCTTGATGGGCATTATTTTTTTCCAAGTAAGTATTTATATAAATTGTGAAATCACAGTTCAGCAAAGTTTCACTGATTGCAATATATTCCATTATATTCCTTAGCTGATCTTAGAAACTAAACCTCCTCTCTGTTAACATTCTCTCACAACCTTCAGTTAAATATACAGCTGTGGGATCAGGGATACAATTTCTACAGTTTGTTGTCAAACAATAACCAATCTTATGGAATTTTTATAGTTCCACTTTCAGCTATCCTTACTCCCTTCAGAGTTTCACAATACTCGCTTAGGTTCTGCTAGACCCAGTGAGATTTATTATGCGTAAATAGGCAGAAAGTTCAGTTCAGTGGGGTTCAGTTCCAAGTGCTCATATGCAGGTCTGCACCTGTACTTAACATCAAAATCCTAAAACACTTTTGGTTCATACAATTACAGCTTCAACCTTGTTCCAATTGCTACTGAGGCTGTTACCACTTCTCTGTAATACCTTCTTGAGCTAGAAGATTCAAGAGTTCTATCATTAGGCACAATAGGCAGACTGAGGCAGAGGAGAACACACAAATAGATCCACAACTGAGCTCATGTTAGATCTGAAGCAGAAGCAAGAATGGCAGCAAGAACAAATAAGGACATCACATAATTTGGGGATCATGGTTTGAAGAAAGTTAACCAACATAAATAGAACTAACCTTAGTATATTTAATCTTCAGATCATTAAGGGGTGCAGGCAAAGTCAGGGGAGATGGAGTGGAATCTGATGCCTTCTTTGCAGTGGACATATTTTGATTAGTTCCTGAAACACAGGTGAAAGGAGGCTTTAGAAAAGTTCACTGATATTTGCCTTGACTGAGTACTTAGATTTAATTGTGCCTTTTTATTTGAGCAGGCTATAGTATATTTGCATGAAAGACTATGATTGGATGAGCAACCACACAGCAAAGGGGGGGGGGAAGTACAAAGAAAGTGTAACACTTAAGAAAGCAGGCTATGTGCTCAGGGGCAAAAGTCTACATGAGTTATGGCAAATAATCTGAGTCTTTTTTTCCTAGTAGAGTAGTTTATATTCTAATCCAAAGCATTCAGATGTGAAGTTCTGAAGTTCTTTCAAAATGCACATATTTTTATTTAATCTTCCGTGTTTTCTTATAACAGCAGCATGACTGACAAGGTTGTAGTTCCTTTTTCTTCTTTGCAGAAACCTGTGGTGATGAGAACAGAGGGCCATTAAAAATAGGAGTATCACATGGAAAAATTCCAAGAGCTAACTCTTTTAGCCTAGGGGAACAAAACCAACAGAATCTTGGGGCACATTGAAAATAATTGGATTGTTCTAAGGCAGCGTTTCTCAAGTTCAACAACTTTAAGATGTGTGCATCTCAACTCCCAGAATTCCGCAGCCAGCATGCTGGCTGGGGAATCCTGGGAGTTGAAGTCCACCCATCTTAAAGTTGCTGAGGTTAAGAAACACTGTTCTATGGCATAAACTTTTATGGATCAAAGCCTATATTTTAGGTACATGAAACAGGTTTGTATGTTTGTGTGTGTGTTTACTGCAGTTCTATGGATTATTAGTTTGGACATTAGACCAATGAATTAAGAGGGCTTAATTTCTGATGAGCAAAAAAATTAAGGCTGTCTCTGAATTGAATTTGTTTGTGGGTGACGGTTCCACACAGTTTTCCTGGCATGATACAGAAGTGGTTTGCCAGTGCCTTTTTCCTAGTAACTCAGTTGCACTCTAGCCTACAGCCCTGGACTTCCAGATGTCCCCATTCAAGTCTTAACTAGGGCCAACCATGTTTGGCTTTCTAGATCAGCCAGGTGTTGGCTAGCTGGCTAGGGAATTCTGGGAGTTGAAGTCTACACTTCTTAAAGTTGCCAAGTTTGAAAAACACTGCTCTGGTTGGACTGCTCTTGAAGAAGCTCTGATAAAACCTAATATCAAAGCCTTCTTCCTGATAACGGTGGCCATATTTGTATGTTAAATAAAAAATACAGCTAACACAAGGAAGATTAATGTGGAAAGGGTTGTACTGAAAAACGTCTGCCTGGGGGAAAAAAAAGTAACAGCTTCATTAGTAAGTTGTATGTGGGAAATTATGCCATGTGAGTTGGCTGCTTTCCCTCCCTCATAAAAGGCATGGTCCTCTCCTCCCATAACAGTTCTACGGAGTCAACATGCAGGGTGTGGCAGCATGAAACATCATCCAGGCTTTATATATTCAGCCTTGTCCTTTAGTCCTGCACATTTCAACGTAGGGATACCTGGCCCAAAGTTGTTTGCCTTATGACACACCTAGTCTACAGCTTCACTGTTTCTTAAACCTTTGGTCTTTACAGTATGTATTGTGTCAATACAGACATCCCCAATATTAATTGATCAGGAATCATTCCAACTTCTCTTAGGGTGTTGTTGTTGTTGTTGTTGTTATTTTTAAGAGGTTCAGGAGGAACAGAAATAATGGGAAATTTCCCTTCCTTCTGTGAACTTCCATCACTTGTTTTGGAATCCAATTCACCTAGCGTGGCCAAGAAATCTTAATTTTACCTGAATAGGAGATGAATAATAAGGCGCGGCTATTAAGACAAAACAGTTAAACTTTAAGTAGGGTTATTTGGAATTAGTATTTATCTGAAGGCTGTTAGTTATTGAATGCTTAGTTAGTAACAGGTCTTGCTAAATACTCAATGTTTTCCCATTAGTGTTTGCATCAAAGTTAATACATAGAATAATTTTGTGGGTACCCACTTTATAAATTGACTATAAAATATAAAGACCATTAGATTTTATTGTACCAGCAACTTAAGCAGATATCATAATCATTTCCCAAACAAAAGACAATTTTAGAAATATAGATACATCTACATGTGCCTGAAATCAATGGAATGTGAAAAAATTATTGTGGACTCAAATCCCATTGATTTTAAACTCACTTAGATGCCTCTTTCCTTGATTTGTGCCCAATGGATACAATCCAAAACATACACAATTTTGTTAAAACATGTCATGGGAAAGGTTCTATGCGTAATTGCATACATGGTGTTCACATACATTCTTTTGCTTGCAGAAAAGAACAGGGAAGTCTCTGTAAAACCAGGCAGATGCAGCTCTACTGAAATAATCAGATCACTTTTAATAAGGTTATTTCAGACTGTTGGGTTCTAGAATTAGATAGTAATTGCAATGATTGGCAATTGGTTTTCTAATCCTCAGAGAATATAAACACTTTTTGTGTATCTGTGCAATATTTTAGTCACATTGGTGGTGTGAGAGATGCACAATTCACCTGAGAATATCATTTTCACTGTGAGCGAAAGTGCAGCAACAGGTTAGTTAAAAACACATAACAGAAAAATAGACATTGGCTAACAGTTAAAGTAACTAAAACAAAAATACCTTGCTAAGGTGTGCTATTGTGTGATTATTTTAATACTTTCTCAAAAAGAGAGCAAGTAAGCAAAATAACATTTTGGTACAAATTAAAAGCTCAGGAATGGTTTAAATGGCACCAACATGATAATGCAGTTGTGACAAATTGTACAGGTATGGAAATAGACTTAGCTACTGCATATATTTACTTCTTTTATTTATGTATTAAAATCCTAGCTTTCATCCAAAAGTTCAAGACAGCGTATATAGCACACCCTTCTTCCTTCTATGTTTCTCCACAAAACCCTGTTTCTTTTAAAAGACAATATGCCCGCAAAGGCTGTCCTGTTCTTTCAGACTTTCACCCTTCTACCACCACCACCCCCCCCAAAAAAGGGGAAAAAAAGATCATTTCAAGAGAAATAAGCTTGAGAACAACATACGGGAACAGAGATTTAGTGATATCATGGAACTATCTTATAAAAAGTATGTGAATGATCATATTTACTGTCCTCTTCTTCTCATTACATAATTGTTTTTTGATATAGCAGAAATTTCCATGAATGAAAGGGAGTGGGAGAAAGAGAAGAAAACATCCCCTTTCCCGAAGTATTGTGTAGGTTGCACCCGCAGAAACGATTTGAGGGACAAGAATGCAATAACTGACAAAGCTGAGAGGTAACAGGTTGCATCATTTCCCTTTTCATGCAAAACATGTAAGCAAGGTAAATTAATATGAGGAAGTTTTATGTGAAGCTTCAAGGAAACTTATGTTAGTCTACAATGCCTACTGAAATATGCTGTTAATAGCAAAATGTTTTGGATAAAATATGAATATGATTACAGCACTTTGGTAGATGACCAGGCTCAAATTATCCTACTTTGGGCTCATTATGCGAGCACCTAGAAGGCTGTAATGCTGGGAAACGTAGAAGGAAAGAGAAGAGGATGACCACCAGCAAGGTGGATGGACTCAGTTGCAGTGGCGATGAGTGTACCACTGGAAGACCTAAAAGACCAGGTTAGGGACAGATCATCATGGAGACAATCTGTCTAGAGTATGGTGGTCACTAAGACTTGACCACATAATCAATCAAATTATGGTTAATTATGTATCTATGCAGGCAGTTCTCTATCCTCTTCATCAATGAGATTCCAGAATAGTGGAATCATTTGAAAGAACAATTAAAAAC